TGTCTATGGCCAAATTGCTGATTCTCCGAGTCAGAACTGAATCTTCATATTTGCCTGAATCAAATCAGGACAGCGATCCAAATCAGCGACTCTAATCACCGTCCCTCAAATTGGGCTGAATCCAAATCGAATACAGCCCACTTCACATACCTCTGGTCTACATCCTTTCTTTAGTAGAGGGCCCAAAACTGGACACAGTACTCCAGATGTGGCCTCAACTGTGCTGAATAGAGGGGAATAATCACTAGGCCTGTGTGAAGCAGAAAGTATTTGCTTTGGATTCGGCGATTTGGAGGGACAGTGATTCGATTCGGTGATTCAAATCACTGTCCTGATTTGATTTGACTTAATCTGAGTGTATTCGGTGCCAAATCTTATTTGGCCATAGACTATACAGGCAGGCAGTCCTGGCAGAAGCAGCTGGGGAAGCAGCAAGATGAGCCCCGGCTTGAGCCAGCAGACCCGGGAGAAACTGCGGCTCATCTGGCTGCTCCCTGGGCTGCTCCCCGGACAAGGCAGGCAGTGCTGGCAGAGCTGGGAGAAGCCACGGGGCCTGGAGGAAATGATCGGGGAGCTGGGGACTCGAACTGGGAGCGGGCGGAAGCCGCTGTTCACTCCCCCAGCTCCCCAATCATTCCCCGCAGACCCTGTGGCTTCTCCCAGGGCTGCCAGCACTGCCTGCTTCGCCCCAGCGGTGGGGGCAGCCGGAGGAGCAGCTGGATGAGCCCCAGCTTGAGCCAGCAGCCCTAGGAGAAGCCATGGGGGCTGGGGGAAATGTTTGGGGAGCTGGGGGAGTGAACAGGGGCTTCCCTCCAGCTCCCGGTTTGATTCCCCCAGCTCCCCAATCATTCCCCCTCAACCCCCATGGCTTCTCTTGGGGCTGCCAGCACCGCCTGCCTTACCCTGGGGGGGGGCAGCCAGACGAGCTGTGGCTTCTCCTGGGGCTGCTGGCTCAAGCCTGGGCTTGTTCGGCTGTTCCCTCAGCTGCTCCCACCGGCTCTGCCTAGTGCCTGCCTGTACATCCTATGGCCGAATCTCTCTCTGAACCGATTCAGAGGCTTCCGATTTGATTCGGAGAGATTAATGGGTCTCCCAATTTGATTTGGATGCCGAATTGGGCCAAATCAGCTACTGAAGTTTTGCACAGCCCTTGACCTGCTGGCAACACTCCTACCAATGCAGCCCAGTATGTCGTCAGCCGCCTTTGCAACAAGGGTGGTATACTGCTGGCTCATATTTAGCTTTATTGTCCTCTTTACCACCCCCACCCCCATGTCCTTTTCTGCAGAGCTGCTCCCCAGCCAATCAGCCCCTAGCCTGTACCAGTGCATGGGATTGTTCTATCCTAAGTGCAGGACTTTGCACTTGTACTTTTTGAACCACATGAGATTTCTTTTGGCCCAATCCACCGATGACTGACAATTATGGGACTACTTAAGCCTTCCAATGAAACACCAGTTTCTGGCCACTGTCACTGATGTGATATTGGACTTGGAGAGTCCATTTCAGTCTGACAGCTCTTAAACATGGGTAATTTGCCTTGATGGCCATACCTTCTGCAACCCTCAGTATGACATGGCACACCCCCTTCCACAGACAGAGGAATGTGTAGGCAGCTCACCTGGAGCTGTAATCCCCTCTGTGGAAATTCAGGCAGACAGTATTGCATCTGTTCATGTTCCCAACTCAACTATTACAACTAGTCTCACTTCAAGTGAAAGCTTACATTCTGAAAAACCAAAGGCCATGGTAATGTGGTGGCACCAACTCAGACCAGTGGCAGCTGCCCTCCCTGTTCTCATTGGCTTTCCCCTCTTTCAGGCTCTGGGAGATGCTGGAGAAGTATGGTCATGAAAGGCAACTTTTCCTCACCTATGAGACATTGGCAGGCCGGGGCTCACGCCTGTGTCAGGAAGCAAGGATGCTAGAAGTACAGCTGGCAGTGCCGCCATCCCAGCTACCCACACTAGAATATGAGAACACAGTGCTATATGGGATGATGTACAGTGATTTCAACCAACTACAGCTTAACTCCCAGGTGAGCAGGGACCTTGACTCTTCCCATGTCTCTCTCTCCCCTGTAGGTAGGTCTATGGTCTTGCCAGGCAATCAAATGTGAAGAATCTTTCTACTGATGCTGTTTTACTTTTCTTGTAGAATTCTCATTGGGCACTAGAGGTTCCCAATAGGATGGTAATAGAATGATAGAAAGTTAGGGTTGGAAGGGACCTCAGGAGGTCATGTAGTCCAACCCCCTGCTCAAAGCAGGACCATCCCCAACAAGATCATCCCAGCTAAAGCTTTGTCTAGCTGGGTTTTGAAAACCTCCAAGGACAGAGTTTTCACCACCCCTCTGGGTAACCTGTTCCAGTGTTTTAGTGCCCTTCTAGTGAAATAACTCTTCTTGTTATCTAACTTTAAACTTCCCTTGCTGTAACTTGAGACTGTTGCTCCTTGTTGTCATCTGCCACCACTGAGAACAGCCTAGCTCCATCCTCCTTTGAACCCCGCTTCAGGTAGTTAAAGGCTGCTATTAAATCCCCCCTCGGTCGTCTTCTCTAAAATAAATAAGCCCAGTTCCCTTGGTCTTTCCTCATAAGTCATGTCCCCCGGCCCACTCACCATTTCTGTTGCTCTCTGCCAGAGTCCCTCCAATTTCTTCACACTTTTCTGTAGTGGGGTGCCCAAAACTGAACACGGTACTCCAGATGTGATGGATTATCACATCTGGATTCTAATTCTCCACCTGATGGATTATCCCACGAAGCACAGATTTGGGCAGGGAACATTCTTTTCCCTTCTCTTTCTACAGTTTTGCAGCATGTTTCCCATCTTCCTGCAGGAGCTATCTGAACTTAAGGAGCAGCTCAGTACCTCAGAGGCCAAACTCTATCAGATGCTGATGGACCTCCTGAATGACCTAAAGGCCAAGCGCAAGTCCCTGAGGAGCCATTTCCAACAGACAGAGCGTAACCTCTATGTGCACTTCTTCAGCAATGCTAACCACCTGCAGGAGGTGGTGCAAGAGCTAGAGGAGCAAGCTCTGTCCTTCTCCTAAGGATATGTAATAGGGCAGGTCAAGGTGGCTTTCATTGTTTGCCCATCATGTGGCCTTTTGTTTCCAAGGGAAGGAAACACTGGTGATTCCAGGTGCCATGGTGGGCTATAGTGGTTTTGTTTTGATCCTGTAATTGGGAGGCCTTGCAGAGAAATGCCACATCCCTCATTACAGGGTGAAGGGAGTGCACTCTGTGGTAAAAGGAAGGGGATTATACTTGTATTTCTCTGTCCCAGGCCAGCAAGAGGTGTTTTGTTTTGTTTTTTTGGGGGGGGAAGGGGGACTCGTTTTGGGATGGCATGGGTGGGGCTCTGATGGAGGGGTAAAATTAAAGACATGGTATTTTTCTATTTGGAATGTTCACCCATGATTACAGAGTTGATGTGTGTGTTCACCCTTCCTGCTTGCATTTGTCCGTCTTGTGTTGTGTGACCCTTTCTACTCTAAACCCAGTCCTGCAAAGGGAAGATGAAGTGGGGCACTTGAAGCAGTGGAAGTGGCATATTATCTCTTTGGTCTGTTGGACACCAGCCAAGGCTGTCTTCTCTGGGACTCCTTCCCATAATTTTTCCATGCTGAAAATGGTGGTTTAGCTCATAGCTATCTTAGCTACAGACAAGCTGGCATGGTACAACTAAGCGCTGGTGAAATCAAGAACATCCTCTCTCTTCCTTGGTCTTCAGTTCACAGTTTACCCATTTAAGTCAGTTAAACTACACTTTTTTTCACTTCCTCCCTTGTCTACATAGGGGTCTAGTGTTAAGCAGAGCAGCCAAAGTGTCAAGCCTACAGTTCAACTGAAATAGTGTTATGTCTTCTCTGGGGAGAGATGGTTTATCTCAAAGAACACTGACCTGCCACTGATCCTCAAACCCTGTTCTGATGGGACAATTACACCATCTTGTTCAGAGCAGGTGGCTGAAAGTCGGTTACAGTTACACTCCAAGCTCTAGTGACAACTCTGATCTACCTTCATGGACCATTAGAGACATATGCTGACTAGAAGGTAAGATGACTGTGATCAAAGATCTCCTTCCTAGATTTATACTTAACTAGTCTAGTAAATGGCACAATACCAATCCCCTGCTGTCCCTGATGATCTAAGGCAACCTATTGCTGTGTGACAGCAGTTTATTCCTTGTCTTGAGTGTAGGGTCAAGCTGCTGCCAGTCTGGTGGTGACTGGAATGTGGATGCCTGGCTAGTTCCTAAGGTCTCTAAATATATCATGTCACTTCACACACATCATCAAAATGCCTTCAACTGGTACACATTTCTCTGATCATGCCCTCCCCATGCTGGCTTTGAAACCGTGACTTTACTGTGGAAGCTCAGAAGACCACTGCTGTTCCCTTGGCTTATCTGGTTTAATTAAACTGATTCACTTTTAATTAGTAAACATTACTGTAAAGCACTTGACTTTGCAGCAAAGCAAGGCACTACACCAAGGTAATTAAGTTGTTTTAAAGGGCTAGGAATTTTGACTGCTAGAGCTCTCTCATGAGTTCAGAAGAAACAAACAAACAAAAAAAAGCAATGGAAGGAAACAGCTACGTGGGCTTTATAGTCTCCTCTGCTGTTTCCCTTTGCATCCATGCTGCCGTTTCACTATAACACTCCTCTGCTGGTTACCTTTGCATCCATGCTGCCGTTTCACTATAACCCCTTGCCTAATGGCACCCTTGTTACAATAATACATCAGAGAAGGCAGCACAAAAAATCCTTTCCCCTGAACAGGACTGACTACTTTATTACCTCTGTGACATCATTTTTGTTGAGATTTCTTAAGCTGGCTAGAGCAGCATCCAGTGCAGGGAGGGCTTCAGCAAGGTCCTTCTGAGCATCATCTGCAATAGCTTGGGCTGTCTCAGCTTTCACTTTGGCTTTCATCTCTTCAGCCTGCACAGCATTGCGAGTCTCTTCAGCCACAGCTGTGTCTACCTGCAGCACCAGAAACAATCTCAGAACAAAGTTTTTCAAAAGATCTGATCCAAAGTACCAGTTTGGGTTGGCCCAGACACTTGTCTGGATGATGCTGAACCCATGACCAAGCATTTCCCATCAGAAAGTCTGTCTCGCTGAGGCTGTATCAAATCTGCATAGCATATCAAAGATTCTCTCCCACTACCAGCACTGTAGACTTGTACTGAAATTGGGCTATTAAGAGGGAATCTCTCGCCAAAAACAGTGCACCAGTTGCAGTACAGATTATGCAGCATGAATTTATTTCACTGATCTGTCAAGGGATGAGCCAGAGTAGTAAACAAAGGAGCAAACTATGATAAATACTCAAACTGCAGTATTTGAGTGCAGTACAGTGAGTGAATATGTCTTAGAATGCTCATAAACAGAACTGAGTAACAAGCTTTTTTAACAGTTGCCTTGCTGACTACACCTATGCTCCATGACAACTTCAGATTTGCACTGTCTGAGGGGAAAATCTAACGAAGGCAGGGCTTTTCTTACAAGTAGATTAATTCACCTCCAGAAAGGAAGAGGTGTGCAAAAAATAAAAAGACTGCATTTCTTCTCAATTCTCTCACAGGCTCACAGTAACTGTCCAGTGGTGTGCAGATTCTGGCAGCTTTTTACAAGCAGTCATCAAGTTTTGCACTCTTACTTAGCATATCCTTCTAGGTTTAGTCATCTTACAATAGGGAAAATGGGCAACAGACACTTGAGGAGCACTGCCTCTCTGTGCTTTCTTAAGGAAAAATGGAGTTACAGAGAGCTTAGAAGAGCATTGGTTCTGGGATTCCAGCAGAGGGCAATGCTGAATTTCAATCATTTTAATTGTAAGAGGCCTGGCTCACCACAGCCTTGGTGACACATTGTGAAGCTAGTAATATTTTATATGCTCCATACACATCAATTGAGGATGCACTAAGACTTGGAATGTAAGAATGATCAGGTGTTCCCAGAGAGAGATTCTTTTTTTATTCACATGTATAATAATCAAGCCAGCTCTTTGTCTCGAGCATCCCATACCAATTTCACCCTGTGATGGAAGCGGAGGAAGGATCATTTTTAAAAATGTTAAAAACACCCAGCTAATTCTTCCCATGTCCCCCACTGTCTCATTTTGGGGGGAAAAGCTGCATCTTTAGATAAATATCCTGTACCTTTATTTGCTCCATAGTTGCCAGCGTTTCTTTGGCTGCTTCTGCCAGGAGGGGTCGTGCTGATTCCAGCTCTTCCTGCATCTTTGCTACATCTTCTGCTGTACTTAGTAGCTAGAAGAAATAAAAGAAATCCAGTTCCTCAGGTACCCTGGTCAATGAGCTCCAGCTATAAGACACCACACCATTTAGAAAGGAAAAGTGAAGATATGGCCTGCCTGGTGTCTGACAATGTAAGTACTTGCTTGGGAATGGCCTTTTCCATGAACAGTCTTCTCTAAAAAAGAGATTTCACTGGATCTGAAGAATGGGTCACATTTTCAAGAAAAGGTGCCCAGTTTTCCCCACACAACATGCACAGGCTTGCTGCATGCAGTGAGCAATTCTGTTGTGCTTCTACAAACATAAACATTAACAGCTCTTTGAACAGTGGGGCAAAACTGCTATGAAGCCGCAGTGATAAACTTAAACTGTGTCTGGGGATTAGTCTAAGCCTAAATGCTGGTCCTATATTCAAATCTGGAGGGCAGCTCTATTACAGTGAAAGCCCCACATCTATTTGATGACTGCGGAAAGCTTATGTATGCAAGTACAGACTTGGTGGGAGGGAGGGAGATACAGGGGATTCAGAACCAAGTCTAAGCATGAACATACACAATAGTGCACAATATAGGACATCCTAGATGGGTCCCTGACAGCAAGGATTAAAACTAGGACCTACAGATCTAAAAGCAGGAACTGTTCCCACTTGAACTAAAGAATTAGTGTCATGGCTATAACAGACTCCAATCTTATAGGGGTATAATTGCACAGTTGTTTGCAGTAAAGCATGCGCTACTTACAAGAGATGATGGAAATCCACAGCTCTCCTAATTTAGAGGAACCAACCTTGTCCAGGCCACTCTTCATCCTGTTCTTGGCTGTTTTCAGCTCTTGTTTCTTCTTCCCAATCAGGAATGTAAAAATGCTAAGGAGCTCCAGGTAGCTCTTGGGAGTGACATAATTGTGTCTGGCCAACTCTTCCAGGTACTCTTTGCACTTCAGTGCCACACTCTGGTGGATTTCTACACACATCTGAATCTGCACAAATCACAGAAAGACAACAAATGCAATAGGCATTTTCTGTGCAGGGTACAGGCACCAGGCAGAAGTTGGAGTGAGTGGCAGAAGACATGGAGAAGAACAAACGTACAACTGCAGCCAAACATTTCCATCACATACAGCTAAGAATCTATGAGAGAAGAAGATGGAGTAGCCCCATCTGAAGGTCAAAATGGCAAAGAAGGAGATTGGATAATCATCTCCAAAGTGTACCAAAGGTAGTTCCTGGCTTGAATAAGGCCATCCTTAAACATTTCTCCATTACAAACGAAATACAGCTTTTTCACATAGGGCATATGTCACCTATATCTGCTTTTAAGCAGAAGAAGGTGTATAACATGCATAGACCTGCACTGTGTTCTGGGGATAGCACTTACCATTCCATCTATAACTTCAGAGGTGGCTTCAATATCTGGCATTTCTTGTAAGAAGGAGGACGCAACGCATCGCAGGGCTTCTGCGGGCCATTCATTAAACCAGTCAATTGTACAGCAGTTCACTAGAGAGGGGAATTGTCTCAGACGGGCACGGAATACCTCTCCAATGGGACTAGGCAGGAAGGAATGGAGTGGGTGACGAGGGAAGAAAATAAAGAATGCAGGTCAGGACAGGCTACCAAGACTGATGTGAAATACTGCACACCTACAGAGTAAGAGAAAGGTGTTTTATTGTAGGTTAAAAAGCAAGAGGCGAGAGAGATGTTCTTTAGCTCTCCAAGAAAAAGGTCATTATTGATTGCCTTGGAAGTGATGGCTGTAGTAAGTATATGCCTCACTAGAAGGATTTATGGAATGTATTCTGGGAATCCTCCTTTGACCAGCAAAGAATAAAGAACTGTATTGGAATGCCCAGGCTATATGAACATAACTAACAGCAATTGATTGCAGAGACTATATTGCAAGACACTGGTTCTGCCAACTCGATTCATGCTGAATAGAACCTATACCCCTCCAGTGATCCTATTAAAAACAATGGAATTACTCATAGGACTATGGGGTCATAGGAAAGTAGGGACCTCACAAGGTCATCTAGTTACAGCTCCCTGCTCATGGCAGTATCATGCCCGACTAAACCATCCCAGCCAAGTGTCTGTTTAACTTGCTCTTGAAAGCTTCCAAGGATAGAAAGTAACCAATTTCTCCAGGTAGCCTGTTCCAATGCTTTACCACCCTAATAGTCAGAAAGTGTCTCCTAATCTTCAAACTAAATTTCTCCTGCTGAGCCATTGCTCCTAGTCCTGTCCCCTGCAGCCACAAAGGAAAGCCCATATCCATCCTCTCTGTAATCACCCTTCAGGTATTTGAAGACTGTTAGCAAATCCCCCCTCAGTTTTTTCTTCTCCAGACTGAACAACCCTAGTTCTTTCAGCCTTTCCCTGTAAAATGTGCCTCTCAAGCCCCTCAGTATTTTTCTTGCTTCTGTAACATTCATGGATAAAGTGCTACTCGCATGAGGAAGGGTAATAGAGCTGCTCCCCAAATACAAGTAACCAAAGGGTTAACTGTGCATGAGTGATGGGGAGGCCTTGTGTGTACTCCAGGAAGCTTTAGTGTCCCCAGCACTGGAATGAGTACAGGACTGAAAGGGACAACCCACTTCCCTACTACTGCAAGCAACTACCTCAGATAATCCTGTTCATCTCCATTTTAAAACTAGTTGAGGTAAGCAAAATAACTCCTTTTAATGGGAGGTTGCTCCTAAACCTCACCCCTCTAATGGCTAAAATTATTATTGCCTGCTGGGATTGAAAAGTTCCTCTGACAGGAAGAGCAGCAGCACAAATGAGAGAGAGAATTACTCACAGACAGGGAAAGCTCATACCTCATGCACAGGACAGTATGGATGTTACTGCGAACGCGTCCTGTGTAGGCAGCCATCAAGTTGGCTTTGGTGGGCTGCTGCCCTAGATCTTGAATGACGGGCTTCATAGCAGTCATGATCTGGTCTTGTTCATCAGGGGCATACAGGTTGGGAATATCTCCTGAGTTCAACACATTATTGATATCCTCAAGGAAAGACTCACGTTTAATCTAAACAGAAGGAAAAAAAAGTAGATTTTCTTGGTTATAACCGAGGTTGTTCTCCAGACGTCCTATAAATCTTTCCTCAAACAATATCCCTCCTATATAGCTCAACTTCCATCATAGGGGAACTATTTTTCAAATTACTGGCTTCAAATGTAATGTGCTAAGACAGAGAAAATACCAACAGCCAAACAACAATGTTCAGCATTTCCGGGGTGTTTAGAATGGTGCAGTAGAGTATCAGAGAGTGTGGCAGAGCATCAGAAAGTGCAGTACATCTCCCCCACAAGTTCATCAAAAGCTTGTCCTCTGCTCTTTGTACTAGCTTCTCAGAGATGTGAAGACCAGCTGGAAACTGCAGCTGGTGCAGAACACAATGGTGTGCCTTCTGACAGGGGTGGGTGACCAGGAGCACACAAATCGAGTGCTCCAGAGCCTCCGCTGGCTCCCGATAGCTTTTGGGCACAATTCAAGGTGCTGGTTTTGACACACAAGGCCCTACCAATGCCAGTCTGGGCCCTATGTACCTAAGGGGCTGCCTTCTCCCTTATGTCCCATCACAATCCTTAAGATCAGCCAAGAGCAACCTCCTGCACATACTATCAATATGCCAAATCTGGTTGGTAAAATGTGTGGGAGGTTGTTTTTAGTAGTAGTCACCCCTCAGCTCTGGAACTCCCTCCCTTGAGGTCTGCCAGAGCCGCCTTCTTTCAGAAGCACCACAAGACCAATCTGTTTGCATAGGCATTTAGCAAAAAAAGCCAGGTTTGTTTAAGAGGTTTGTAAGAGGGAGCCAGAGGCTCCTGTTAGGAAACAGAACCAGACTCATTGGAAAGGCTATGGGGGGAGCAAGCAGGTGAGATAGAATGCCACAGGGAACTGCCCATTAATCCTTAATTAGAAAGATGATCACCTGAGGGCCTGGAAGTAACTGTCCACAGGTGATAATGGGAAGACAGAAATAAGGGCTTGCTCTGAAGCTAGGGAGACAGCAGAGGATTGCCAAAGCAGAGTGATGCACAGCCATGCGAGGAAACCCTGAAGAGGAACAGAGCCCAGCAAAAGAGACAGACAGTGCTGGGGAACCCCAGTATGGGACTGGACTTCAGGAGCTGGGTAATGAGAAGCCCCAGGGTGAGTTGCTCAGATGGACTTCATTTTCCCAAATAGACTGGTCAGTTCTACTACTCGCTGGGGACTGCCCCACCTGGGGCAGGATGAGTTAGAGACAGTGTACCTTTTTTTTTTTTTTGCCCCCAAGGTGAGATGTGTTGTGTTAAGGCAAGAGCTGAATCTTCAGCTTGTTTTCTAACTGGTGGTTTGGGACTATCAGGAGTTGGCAGAGGTCCTAATAGTGCCTGAGGGCACACAGGTGTCCTGAGCCTTGTAGGAGCTAGAAGCCCAGGACACAGACTGGGCTTTGGCACAAAAGCAGGCTCACTGCCTAGGGCTGGGCACAGATGGCCAGGGACCTGGGCTGGCAGAGCCAGAGTGGGCCCTTTGCCTAGAGCAGGACAAAGATAGGGCCAAGAGGCCCAGCCCGAGGAGGGCAGAAACCAGGGCCAGGGGCCCAGCAGCCCAGGAGGGGCTGAGACTGGGCCAGAGACATTTACTACTAAGGGCTGAGGCTGAGAGCCTGATCCGAATCAGTGGGCCAGGCCTAAAAGCCTTTAGGCAGAGAAAAGGGGTGGAGGCTGAAAGGACTGAGGCCCTGACAAGGGAGTAATTGTGCAGTGACATCTGTGAGGCATGGGGATGGTGTAAGGGGCAGCTGGAGCCACATAATAAGCCCTGAAGGCACTGAATAGTGCGACTGAAGCTCAGGAGTGTAGGAGATCTCACTCAAGGATCCTCAAGGCAGCCTCCCTTTCTAAGTACTTATTTACATCAAGGAGTGGCAGAAGGGGAGAGTACTTGAATGCCTGAAGACCCAACAGGAGCAGGGTGACCATCAGGGGGCACCAGGCCCACTAGCGGGGTCTTTGCCTGTTACAGGGTCTCCGTCTTATGTTGCTATTCTGTAGTTCCCATTTCAGTTATTGTGTCATTCTCCTGTTTTATAAATATCTTATTTCTCTTACTGCAAGCCAATAGCCATCCCGAGTCTTGTTGGAAAAAGTGGCGTAGAAATGGAACAAATAAAATAATCAAGGTCTTGATCCTTAATTCCAAAGCATTCCATGGTTACGCTCATAGGCCTGTGGAAGAGTTGGGATCTGCTCAAATTTGGATATGAATTTTAGCAAAGCTATTAAAGAGAGAAATACTACAGGAAATTATAATATTTATGGAAAATGTTAAATTCCTAGATATAGACTAGAGAAGAAATGCTACAACTAAATAGATGGCTCAGATATTCCTGGACGTGACAACGAACGCATTTTTCAAGTAGATACTGAGACAATTGGAAGCACTGGTCCAATTTAGACTTTGTTTTGGAAAGTAACAGAGGCATTATAGAAGAACTGATTGTAGAAAAATAATCTTGGATTGAGTGATCGATCATGAATCGATTCCGTTTAAATTAAATGGAAGGATAAAAAATAACAGTAACTAAAGTTCTTGATTTCAAAAGGGCGAACTAGAGAGTGAAATTAACTGGACACAGGATTTAAACACAGAAAAGGCCTGAAATATCCCTAAGTTAAAGGTGTTAAATCAATCAGGAATCTATCTCAAACAAGGAAAAAAATGTAGAAAAGGGCTCCAAGAGCATGCTGCTCAAATAAGCTGATGACACAAAATTAGGAAGCACTGTCAATACTGACCAACAGTGTTACTAAGCGATGGGTAGAGGGGAGGCAACTGGGGCAGAAGCCCTGAGTGCCAACTTAATGGGTGCAAAAACAGCAGCTGATGCTGCCAGTGGCAGGCCCGC